CAAAACCATTATACCCTGATTTCCCATTTTCAATGGGTTCAGGGTATAAACATGTTAAAATCTCTGCTTTGTCAGTGCATAAGATCTGTTTTGTTTATATATCACATATATGTATGTAGCTGTGACATGTATAATTTATTTTACGCTTTACAATACCAGGATTTGATTCGAATTTTAAACCTTTAGCTGTTATAATAATATTTCCCACTAAAATTTCATCAGTTGAAGAAAATTTCGAGTCTCTCGAAAATGGTCAAAGCTTTGCCGTTCACTTATAGAAACGAATACACTCATTCAGTGAACGAGTATAATAGACTAACTGAAATGAAAATCGCTTTCAGCGCTAAGCCAATCAATCTCTCTCTCTCTCTCATTCTCACTCTCTCTCTCTTTCTCCCTATGTGTCTTTCGTCATGTCCTGTGTCCGGGGGTAACTAGATGTTTTGCTATTGACAGCTTTTAATGCAATTTTCCTAAATGCTTTAATTGAATTTCATAAACAGGCAGCGGCGACACTACTGAGAGCCATCAACTGGGCACTTAATGCCATTGGCCACTTGCCGCTTGCCACTTGCCACTTGCAACTTGTTGGCGTTGTCACATTGAAGTTGCTGAATGCGGAAATTCGCTTTGATTGCACTGACAACAGTTGCCGATTTTTGCCATGGGCCCAGTCCAGAGCAGCTGGGCTAAAAAATCAACAGCGCCCATGCAGATTTTCCCATTTGGCCACAAGTCGTGCTTTTGTTGTAGTGGCATGTGGCATGTTGCATGTTGCATGCCGCTTGTTGCCTGTGCCATTTCATCATGCTCCATTTCGAGAGCTGCGCACACAAACTTTTAATTAATGTAATGCAATTTTCAATATATAGCTCTCTCTCTCACTCTCTGTTGCTCTTTGTTTCGCATTAATTGAAATTCCCAGTGGCGTTAATAAGGCTCAGCGGCATAATTTCACTAAACTGCATAAAGTTCCAGCCCCCAAATAAATCAATTAAAAGCATTTTGTTGCGCAATTAAATATGAATATGGTAAAATAAAAACTTGTTGGTCGCACGTGGCGTATGCGCAATTTCATTAATGCTGTGCTCCATAATTGTTTAAGCCAAATATATGCCGAATAATTGGGCTTTAATGCTTTTTAAGAGCTCTCTGCGGTTTTCATATTTCATTGATATCATTTTATGTGTACGTTTGCTTGTTCACGTAAGGATTAAGGGCGTATTAGTTGTCCACATGTTGTAAAGCATTTAAATTACAGTTTTCTGTATGTTCTATATGTATTTAAAGCATCTGCAGACTTAAATTTAGATCACTCGGACCAAACTTAACCTATATAACCCCACTTATAGATTCATACTATATGTGCTAACATACCTTCAACTTTGACCCATATTAACCTTCATAATGCATAAGGATCTATTAATATGGGAATATCGAAGGGCAGTGGCAGTGGCAGCAGCCTATAAAGCATTGTAAAAAGTCGGGCATGCCCTACAATATCGTTTTTCTTTTTTTTCAAGCACTTTTATATATATTTTTCTTCAATACTAAGTTACTAAATTTCCATTTAATTATATCATTAATAAAATAAATCATTTTAGCATCCCCTGCTTAGCGCTACTTAAGAGAGACCGCTGCAGCACAACTCCTCCTAGCTTAAACACTCTAATCCTTAGCCGAGCTATAAATATATATTTTTGTATGTATTTTTATGCTACATGCTAATTTGCACCTATTTTCGGAATATATCCAGATATATATATATATATAAACTGTGACAGATTTAGGCGCAATGCAAAAAGGTTGCTGGTCAGCGCGATGCTATTTTTGGGGGTCGCATGGACAACATTTTGGTGGGAGGGCCAGCAACAACAACAACTTTTAGGGTCAAGTACACGAGTTGACTGCTAACCACAAGAATTCAGCTAAATCAATAGAGAGAAGTGCATAAAGAGAGAGAAGGATAGAACGAGAGAGAGAGAGGGAGAGAGAGGGAGAGTGAGAAAATTCATATATTTAGCAGAGCAACTGCAGGGCAAATCGTGCTCGCCCTCACGCTCTCGCTCGTGCCTAAGATCTGCGCATGTTCGCTCACGTTCCATCTGTCTCGGCTCCTGCTCTCTCACGCGGCCTCTCTCTCTCTCTCTCTCTCTCTCTGTCCGTGTAGATCAGTCAACACTTGAGGCAGCCAGTTTCCATTCGTAGCAATTCTTCGACATCAGTTGCACGCCTTCGTTTGCCGCGACGAGTTCTAAGAAAGAAGATTTTCCGATCTATAGGTGGAGCATGTGTCTCCCCTTTTAGTTGCTTTGCCTAATATTGCATGCGAACATGTATCGAGCCATTATCTTGGTCTTCCTGCTATCGCTGACCCAGGGCGGCATTCTGGCCAAGCGCTACTTTGGCGTGGGTCGCCGCATTGCCAACGATCAGCTGTTGCTCAAGGATCTGCAGCATTCGCGTCCTGCGGGCGCTGGACAAGCGGCTAGCGTCGCCTTCAACTACAACATTGCGGAGCCCATCACCTACATTGAGATCGTGTCGGAGGAAGTGAGTTTTTGACAGAATCCAATGAAACAATTGAATGCCATCAAATGGGGCACATTCGACTTGTCTATGTGCAGGGGAACACACAACATTGTTGAGTGTATAAAATATATAGACTTCTGTTCGACTGGCCAGTCGATCTAGTCGATTCGCTCTATATAGACGAGTCGTAAATTACAAGTGCTAGAGACTTGAAATTTGTATACCCTAAACACACTGTATGTAGCACTGTGGGGTATAACGATTATGTTATAATGTATGTAACAGTATATGGAGTGGAATAGTAAAAATTTAGAACAAATTAAAAGTGTTCATAAGATCAAGATATATATTCCCTTGCCAGACGTTGCCCCAACGAACACAACAATTACTCAATTATGTATTTCATATATGAGATCAAAAGCGAGCTGTCTAAAGATATTACATAAGTATAAACAAATCAAATTGTAGACTTGATATACTGTAGTATGTAGTATGCATATAAATTATATGGTATAAACATGTCTGAATTCATAAATTAACATCGAATCATGAACCAAAAGAAGTGAAGAATCTAAATTTCAAATACATATCTCTATAAGCATGTCAGCATATGTCAAACAGCGAAATGCATGTAGAGTATATAAATAATATCCAAAATAAGCAAAACAAAGCTCTTAGAAGCTTAATAGCTGAGATCGTTCAGATCAAAACTAGTCATAGACTCACAACATCTGCCCTCGAAACTCAGGGTATTTGCTAGTCGAGCACTTTCTATAGTACACCAAAATTTGTTGCTTATGTTGCCTTTCTGTTTTTATTTATTTTTTTTTATTTTTGCATATGACCAGCCTAAAATAGAAAACGAACTATATTTTGTTTTTGCTGCTTCTTTTCCCGCACTATGCCCAGAGACAGAGTCAGAGACAGAGAGTGTGAGAGCGAATAGAACTGAAGCAAAAACAAAAACAAAACCAAATACAAATTATCTAAATGACAACAAATAGCAAGCACGCCGTGCAGATATGTATTTATTTATACATTTGCTTCTCGCGACCCAATGTTTGGCATAACATTTTGGTTTGGCCAATTTTATGGCATTAGAAACAAGTTGGATTATTAGTTCGAGTCGCAGACGGGCTAATTAAAAAATTAAATTAAAAAATATATAAACATATATATTCGTATTATTTAAAGTCTAAATTGCTTATATAAACCAGTTGTCGTTGCCAGATGTAGCTACAAAAATTGTCCAACTGATCTTAAATATAAAGCTAACAGCCCGAATATAATGAGCTATAATTCTAGAAAATATTTAACTGTTTACTCCATAATAAATGGATTTACCTCATTGCACATTATTTCAATATTATAATTGCATTTTTGTACTACCAATTTCAGAGGCCATTAAGTATACTTTGGCTAAACCTCATTGATTTGTGCATTTGAAGCATACATATATATAACTATAGCTAACTATTAACTGTAACTATAAGACTACAAATCTGAATTCTTAGACCTGAGCACTGTGTGTGTAAAATGAAGATGAATGAGATGAACCTGATATGAATTATATGATATTGAGATGGAAAATCCAAGATTAGTTTCAAGATGCTAAATCATAAATAAATATGAAAAAAAAATTTTTACTGATCAGTTCCTATGCAATATTTATATTAAAGATGGAAATCAGATCTAAGGCTACTCCCAAGACTCAGCGTGTTTAGCATAAATGGAAGTCAAAGGTTTTTCAACTTGTTCGTACATCTACAAATTGCCATAAAGTTTAACATAAATATACAGATAGAAAGTTTCCGTATTACCTTTAAGGAAAACCCCATCTTTTATTTTAATCCAAATACATGCAATGCCAACCATATGAAACTTATAGAAGCAGTTTAATGAATGCAAAAATAAATGAAATATAATAAGTACCTCTGAAAACCTACTTCTTATATATAGCGCTACATACGCTAGTTTATACTACATGTTAGGGTATTTCGACACGTATATAGCCGTCTAGTACATGTGTCAAATCAACTGCAAATTTGGCACATTGGCGCGGCTACTTAGCCAGCGAATGGGTAAAGTCCCTGAGGTGCGAAGGCATGGCATTATTTCACATTTAAAATGTATTTTCAATAACGAAATGAGGCACTTATGACGCGAGGTTTCGCAAGAAAATTATATATATATACTTATAAATGTTTATAGTATACAGTGGATAGTCAGAAGAATATGTTGCAGATTCCCTCAGAATCAGCACGTTGTGTATTTTATCGACGAGGTGCGGCAAAAATGTTAATTTTTTTACGCTTGATCGAATACCCAGTTAGGTCGACGACCAATCGATAGATTTCTTAGAAGTGAATCTGTTTTCGATCAAATGAATTGGAATTTTCTAATTTGCAGAACATTTCGGCCGAGGTGAAAGTGAGCTATGTGGATACATTGATCGTGGGCCTCGTTAGCCTTGTGGCCCCCGGCAATCAGAGCGAATTCGATGAGGAGTTCGAACAGAGCCAAAATCTGTCGGCCTCTTTTGACGTGGTCATCACGATCTTTGGCTTTAACCAGACCATTTTGAATTTGAATCCCGCATTGCTGCTCAATCGCGATTCACACTTTGAGGGCGAAGTGAAGCCCTACGACGACTACGAGGAGGTCGAAGAAATAAGCCAGTCATTCGAGAGCCTCAACCATGAGGATTCAGTGACCAAACATTTTGAAGACGACAGCACCGATGCGCCCGTTTTTATCGAGGACTTTGAGCACAAGGACAAGATCATTGAGATTGGAGAACGGCAAGCAGGTAACTAGAGACACATAAGTCGATAATTATCGATAGGCAGTTTTATTTGCTTGAGGATAAATCGTATCTTAGGCGCTCTTAAGTTAAATCTTACATTTTTTTCAAATTTGCATTTATTATCATAACACTATATATTATTATTTTCACAGGCGACGACTTGATCTTTGAGACATATCAAACATCATCGGGCGATGACAAAACGCAGTCGAATCAAACAGTCACCTTCTACTACATCGACAGCGATTACATCACCTACATCAAGTTTGTTATCTTCGATGTGAGTGGGGCTAGCTATAAATTCCATATTTCTAAGCTAATCTCTTCATTTTTCGATCCTCAGCACTACTTGGATAAGGTACCCACTGCTGAGAATTACATGCCGCCCGTGGCCGAGTACAGTCATTATTCGGCGAGCACGATCAAGGCAACGATAACGGATTTCAACGTCAGTTCGCTGTTCGTGCAAATGTTTGTCTACGGCTATCGAGGCGTGGACAGTCCGCCGCCAAACTACAAGCCCTTCCTGGAGCCCCAAAGCCAGCAGAGCGATCGCACGGTGCATCTGACGCCGCTGCAGCGCATGCAGCTGCTGTTGATGACGGGTGGCCAAACGACCCCATCGCCGCTGGACTCTGATGTGGATGATGATTCCGAGGAGTATGCCACTGTGGCGCCCATTCGTCCCGAGGATATGCTGCCCGACCATGTGCCCGAGGCGAGCATGGCGAGCGCTGTGCTCGAACAGCAGCGGGCAATGCCACAGCGGCTCTATGCGATGTTGGGCCTGATGCTCTTTGCTGTCGCATAGTCAGCCTAGCGGCTGGAGGGAGACATGTTAGTTAATTAAAAGGACCGTAAAAGCTTTAAGTTAGTTGCGATTAGGTGCACACACTTGCAAATATTGTAATATTTTATCAAATAAAGGCAATTTGGCTTAAGCCAAGTTAACAGTCTATCACACACACACATACAGAGAGAGAGTCAGTCGATGACAAACAAATTGAAAAAGTTGTGGCGAAAGTAGGTCATGGCACCCGCTTCAACCCCGCAACGCTCTCTTAACTCAAACTCACTTTCCCTCTCTCTCTCGCTCTCTCTCTCTCTCTCTCTAACTCGGCAAATTATCTGCGTCAACAGTGACTGCGACTGCGACGCCAACGGCGACGGCGACGGCGACTGCGGTGGTTGATTTGGCAGCGCAAACAAAAGGAAATGGAAGAAGTGAAAAAAGTCTGCTGACGTATGTACACAACACACTTACACACACACACACACACATTTCCTTTTCTTTAGCAGTTGTCCAGCACAGGCAACTGTTTATTTGCTTGTTGCCCCACTGGCCCACCCTGCCCCCGCACAGTGCCCTCCACGCTTCACTTACATGCTGTAAAAAGTTCTAAAACCTCATCTTCTTTCTCTTTGGCTATATAGAAAATTAACTGCTGCTGCTGCTGCTGCTGCTGCTGCTGTTGATGCTGCTGGCACTGTGAAGGCCATCATGTCCAGTGCGACGACGACCACAGGGCAATCGCAGATGCCTTCGCATAACTATTTCAGCAAATCCCCCACCCCGCCGCGCTCTGGCTTATTGCTCTGCTCTAAAACATGTCCAAAAAACTGTGTGTTATGCGATTTGTTTCATGCCATTTGCAGGCAAACAGCGCAGCAATAAAACAGGCAACAACATTGCAACTGTTGGCAATGAACGACGACGAAATACCCGTACATGTGGGGGGAATTACATTGGGTGGATGTTGAAAGTGGCTTACTGCTTCATAGTTGTTGTTTACATGGAACTTGAATAAAGAGCTAAAACACTTGGCAACACTTTTTAATAAATTATTAATCAAAATATAAATATTTATTTTAAAATTATGCCAGAGAAAAGATGGGGAAAACTATGAGTGGGAGTTAAAAAATCATTTGAAAAAGCTATAAAAATTTGGAACATGTTTTGATAACTCTGAGCAAACTTAAAAGACAGTTTTCGTATTATATAAATAGATCAAAAATAATATAAATCTGAAATATATGCTTATAAAGGTAGAGCTCTTAGCCTTGGGTCAGGCATAGACATATATTATATACATAGAGTTGCCAGATGGATCGAGTATGGACAGCCCCCTCTTAGCTAGTTTCAATTTACATATACCAAAGAAATCCACATCTTGATTAGAAATATATATGGTAAACATAAGTGGACCCCTCATTCAATCCGATTTCAATAACCCATAAATGATAGCATACTTTTATAAGTGACTGTTTAACTTGAAGGTGCGCAAACAATTCCCCAGCTCGGAAACCTTGCTCGATGGGGCAGCGACTGAAGTTTGGCTAGCGGCAGCACCTGGCAACAACGGTAATAAAACGCAGATAATATGTGGGCGAACAGAAAGCCAAATACAAATGTCCAAGCCAGAAGCCAGTGGCGTGAACGTGGCCAACAGACGCCGTCTGTCCGTCCAGAGGGACAAGCCACATTTATGTTTAATTCAAAGACGCCAAATTTACAAAAAGCTAACAAATTTTTGGCCGCAGACGAAAAGTGCTAAGAGAAATGTTCAAGGCGCACACAAAAATATCAAAAAGGGTAGGGGCGTGGCAGGGCAGTCACGGGCTGCAGGCGCCGTTGGCGGCAGCTTGGGCTAAATTGAAAATTTCTTTTTATGCGTGCGCGCTTACAGTTATTTTTTTTTTATGTGCAGACATATATAATACAGCCGTTATGGCTGTGTGTGTGTGTGTGGATATAAGGCGTGGCATTGGCATTGTAAACAACTGAGGATAAGCAGCGCACAAGTGTCATCCACAGCCACGCCTACAGCCGTCAGGCCTGGCAACACAACTGTCAGCCATGGGCATACCCCCTCCATACACACACCCACACATATATAGGGCCTCGACATGAGAACGATGTGGTAGTTAGATCTAGTTCCATATAATATACATATATTTCTTAAGAAAGGCTCTATCTCTATCAATCTAGATGACAGAGAAATCGGTAGAATCTATCAAAATCCTTTCAATTTATACTAAGGTATATTAAAAGTATTGAATGAACCCACAAACGTGTCAATAATATTTAGTTAAATGAACAGGTCACTATGGATTATTAAAAATCCAAATTTGGTGAACTATATTGACTACATATTGGTTCACAGTTCCAATAACAAGTTGAGGCTTAAGCCAGCATGTAGACTCGTAAGGCAATAAATACTTGAAATAGCTATAAAGAGCAAATTGTTAAGAACTGTGAAAATCCGTTTAGTTATGGCAAAAATTGTTCAAGCCTTGAGCTGGGGAATAGAAATTTGAATATTAACTTTTATAGCTCCAATCCAAGCAAATATGTTTTGTAGCTTTTCATATTGCAATTTCAACTTGCAAGTATTACGATTTTTGGATACTCATTTTAAAAGGTAAGGCCCTCAGGCTTAGGGTAGCTCTGGCTACACAGTGTCTGGGGCTTGAGCACGTCTCATGTTTTTTTTTTTTTTCGCCTTTATCTTTTGCTTCAAGCCACAGGCAACTTATGTATGTGTTCGTGACGATGACAACTGCCATGTGTGTGTGTGTGTGTGTGTGTGTATGTTTTATACGAGCGTCTACCTGCCCGCTAGCATGGTGCACGTGCTTACCTTTTGATCCTTTTTCAAGCACAGCCCAAAAGTTGGAATTATTGATTTTTTCTTAGCTTACGTTTTCTCTTTTTTTTTTAATTTTTTGCTTCGCTTAGTTTATTTGCACAATTTGCATTTAAAATAATTAAAAAAGTATTTTAAGCTCGTATTGGTGTGTGTGCGTGTGTGTGTGATAGTGTACATGTATTTGCCATTACCGCAATTTGTTTTGGGGGCAGCCGCTTCAGTGCATCCTTTCTTGATCCTTGGGCATGCTGCATAATTCATTGTCGTTTGGCTACCTTTGTGACGAGGCAAAAGACAGAAAAGGGAATGAATGACATGGGCGGTGGGTGGAACGACTCATTAGCGTGAGCAACGAGAGAGAGATGGTGAGAGAGGGAGAGGGATAGAGGTCATTGGGTTCAAAGAGTGGGTGGCGACGGCTAAGCACATGTCTGTGCAAGTTTTTAATTGCACATGTCTGTTTCACAGGCTTTGCATTTGCATTTTATTAAATTTCAAAAGCTCTTCGCACATTTGCTTTCACCTGTGCCCCAGCCCAGTTGCACCTGAGCCCCATTGTTCGCCGAGCAAGCGAGGGCTGTGCGCATTGCATATTTATGCACTTAATAACGCATTTTAGCATGCTCAAGTGCAACTCATCTTTTGTTACAGCATAGAGCGCATAGCAGGCGGCTGAAAAGAGATGGCCATACGCACGGCGGCAGACAGAGACAGCAATCAAAGAGTGATGCCAACACCAACAAGCAGCCAGCAGAGCTGCAAATGGTTTTCACATGTCGCTGCCGTCGTTGACAAATGGAGCATGAGTTACATGTTATGTCAGCTGGCATATGCATACGCTATTCGGTATTCCGCATCCTCCATGCTGCATGCTGCATGCTGCATATTGCATGTTGCATATAGCAGGCGCTCTACCCTTTTTATCCCTGCTCCCCTGCTGGCCGATTCCCAATCCACATGACATTTCTGCTTTGCCTGTCAAAGCGTAAGAACTGTCGTCTTGTATTTTTTCGGTCCCTGCGCACGTGGCGGATGCGTAATGCAACAAAAGGACGCCGAAGCGGAACTTCAAACTGCAGCGCATATTTTTTCGCTCATTGAATACGATTTAAAGCAATTACCCAGCAGACAACAAATGCGAGTAAAGCAGCTTATAGCAACAGCGCAAACTGAACGAAATATGAGCAGAGAAAGGCAACAATGAAAAATTAAATGAAAACATACAAAGGACCATGACTGAATCTTGGATGATAATAATAGACCATAGTCTTTTAAAACTCTCGCTTGATACTTGCTTTGCCTAAGGATCGAGTAAAATCTATATAGTACACATAACACCTCTTATATCATGCTCAAATTTACCCTCTTTAAACACACATTGAAGCGAATTTATCACCCTTCTATGTAATTCTCATTAATATTATGTAGCATCAATCGTCTTTGATTATAAATATTGTGCGCACTGTGTGTTTACTTTATTTTATATATATTTGCATATTTAAAAAAAAATATATATATACAATTTTTTATATACTTCTTACGCTTTACTCCAAGAAGTTTCTTTGAATTCCCTTAGGACCAAACCACAAAGCAAACCTCTATGGGCAGCGAGCATCCAAAGCAAAATTGAAATATTACAAGTTTTGCTTTTCAATCAGCTTAATGAAAATATATGAATCGTAATGAATGAAAGCTAAGGCAATAGAAGAAGACGAAAATCAACAAAATTATAGCAGCAAATGTTGCATGCACAACGAGCGAGAGAGAGAGAGAGGGAGATAGAGAAAGAGAAGGCAAAGTTGTTGCCATAGTTAACTTTGGTCACATCCATAATTGATTGATTTGGAGTGCAACAATTGGATGTGGGCGAACATTGTGGCAATGCGGCCATGTGGCAAGTGCCATAAAACCACATATAACACACAGCAACAACAGCAGCAACAACAACAACAACAACATTGGCAGCACCAACGACAAGGCTAACAAACAAAATGCTGGGTAAACCAATCAATGCCACAACTGAAAGCCACAACGTCAGCTAGAAGCGAGCCGAAGCTTAAGCTGGACAGATGTAAGCGTGTGTGTGTGTGTGTGTGTGAGAGAATGTGTGCGCGCGTGTGTGTGTGTGTGCATATTGTTCACACAGAATTACAGTTTTTAGAACTGAAACCAAATGAGAGCTGATTGAATGCATGTTAAAACGTTTAACGGCAAATGCAATAAAACTAAGAGAGAGACAGACAGAGAGAGAGAGAGAGCGAGAGAGAGCGAGAGAGACAGCTGTAGGCAGA